AACCCTCTATATAGTCTGCAGAAGGCTCCATGTTCAGGCTTTTCAGCTTACTCCAATAATTATGTGGGACATTTTTAAATTTCCTTCATAATTGTGCTGCATTTTCTTTGCCCTTCTGAATAATAGCAATTTTTAACTATTCTCTTTGGCTACGGTGTTGTTGTTTTTTGCAATTCTCTGAGCACATTATAAACTGTCTTGCTCTCATCTTTATTTTTCTTTCCCACAACTGTTCCCTTATATATTTTTCTTGTTTACAGTCTTTTCCAGTTCAACACTAAGCATCATCTAAGCACTTAGCTGCTCACTAACATTATATTTCATGTTTATTGGTATCATAATCTCATTCACCACCCCCCACAGCCATTTGACATCTTCTCTTCTCATAAATGCCTCCTCCAGAAGTAAATCAAAGCCTTCACAGAAAAGAGTATAATTAGAAGAATAGATAGGAGTTCCAGGCAACAGGATCAAAATGGGAAGAGATTTTTCAGGAAATAGAATATTTTCATGTAGTAGTCTTAGACGGGAGCCAGAGGGTGGCCCATTACAGATGAAGACATCCCTTATATTTAATACTGGTGGGATGTTCCTGCGGTCATGGCCAGTCTCTGCACATCAGACCCTCAGTAGCCTATTTATTCAGCTGTTAGTAAATGCTAGGTCAGTTAATAACAAAGCTTTCCCTTATTTGTGACTTTATTGGCAAAGAAATGTATCAGCATGTATCACCAACTCCAGGCACATTCCAGAATGGGGAGTCTCCCTCTCAGAGATGTGTGCAGCTGGGTTTAGGGTTTAGCACCAGTTAAGACCTCAGGGCAGAGGAGAAGAAGGTATCATCCAGGAATCTCTTTTGGCCACCATATTCCTCTCCAAGGTCATCTACAGTCCAACTCATGACAGTGGCCACACTCCAGATATGATTTTCTTGAAGCAATGGGAATGTGATCTAGCAAGATACCCTGTGAATTCTACTTCATGATCCTGCCAAAACTCTGACTATGAATCATATTCTAGAATCGGAATATAACTGATGCTTTGGATAGGATTGTATCCATGCAGCCTCTCTTAATCCTTCTTTCCTGGCCTTCTCCACAATTCATGGAGGAGTTAAGGGTTTGAAAAAGGTCAAGAGATGTCTAGAGAGGCACTGGGGGAAAACAAGGGACAAATCTGACAGGACACAGATCAGAGTCATTATTAAGGTAGCTTTCTAGTGGTAAGAGTGGTGAAACAATACATTATTTTTCTGTTCTTATATCATTTGCAGAGTATCACCCAATGGCCATATTTAAGACCATAGGGTTTCTCCTGGGAAGGAGGACTTGGGTGATCATCTTCAGGGCCATGTGGAGGAATTTGTGGAACACCTGATGGAAAAAGTTGCTTGTATCCATTCTCAGTTGGAGACCAAACATAGAGCAGGTCCATTAGAGATGGCTTACTCAGTTATCTGGGAAAATATTGATCTTATTAGGACAGGTCCTCAATGCTGTCAACGCAAGTACCTGCATTTTAAATCCATGTCCCTCCTGGTTGGTGAAACTCTCCATCATGGTGACCTCCAGGTGGTGATCAATGCATCACTACAGAAGGGGGCATTCATGGGACTTTAAAGAAACATTATGCTGTCCCCTCCTTAGATGCTGTGGGTGTCTGAATGGGGGAACCACGGGCTTCAAATGAACCCTGATAAGACTATGTTGCTATGGCTGCTTGGAGCCTTGGGATCTGGGCATTTAACATCTTCAGTTCTGGATGGTACTGCACTGCCCTAGACAGATCCTGTGTACAACTTATGGGTTCTCTTAGACTCACAATACCTGCTCAATGGTGCATGTAACATTGCTGTAACATGAGTTTCACTAGTTGCTGGTTTGCTTCTGGGTCCAATTCAGTGTGTTAGACATCATCTTTAAAGCCCTTCATGGTACAGGAGGCTGTTTCACCCCAGTGGGATTGACCCACCCCACTCCTTCCTGCAAAAGAAACATGCTGCAGACCTTCTCAGTCAAGGAACTTCGGCTAGCAGGATCTAGTAAAAGAGACTTCTCTGCCATGCTTCCCACCACCCAAAAAAAAATATCTGGAAAAATCTTGCTGCTGAAGGCAAAATTGATCTTGTGGATCAAATGAACCCTGATAAGGCCTTCTGGATTTGCCTCAAAACCTGGCTCAGCCAATTGGCCAATTGGGACCATGATGGGGCATTTTACACTGGAAATGACTGGTGGACTAAGAAAGAAGATTCCACCAGTGTACTGATTATGTACTCTATTAATTTTAATGTTTATAATTTTTTAAATATTCTTGCTTTTATTGTTTTGCAAGCTGTCCCATCACTTCAATACTAACATGGATGGCATAACATCCAGTACAACTACACAATTTATTTGTGCAAGATTTGAACAGTTGTTAATGGAGAAAGGGTAATAAAATTAAGAATGCCTTGTGCCGTTTATCCCAAAGCAATTGCTATTCATTTTAACACAGATCTGACTTAAGGCATTAAGAAAGTAATGACACAATATGTTCTAAAGTTGAAAGACAATACTAGGGACAACACTGGTAATCATTTTCTGCCTATAAGTTAAATAAGCTGTAGGACATTGTTGCTTTTTAAAAATAAAAATTTGTATACTTTGCAATGTAATTTCTTATGTATGTTTACAATTTTCTTTGTGTGGGTACACTATAATATTTGTAATCATGAGCATATTATATTATAAACTATAATATTTGTAATCATGCTCAATAGATTCTGTATGTATTATAGATATTGGGGGAAAATGTGGACGCCCACCTCCTGTGGAGCATGGAGACATCACGGACTCACCCAAGGCAAACTATTTCCAGTCTGAAAGTGTAACTTATCAGTGCCAAAATCTCTATACAATGGAAGGTTCTCCCAGAGTGACTTGTCAAAATGGTCATTGGTCACAAACACCAACATGTAGAGGTATAAGTAATATCTATAATTCTTTATAGATTTATTCTTTATAGATAAATATTGTACTTTGGGAATGGGATAAATTTCATGACATCAGATCTGTTATGTCAGTATGTTAGTGTCAAAAGATATTTTACTGCCTTGTAATGGAATTAGAAGCGGTAGTATTCTGAAGCAAGATAAAGTAACTATCTCAGGGAGAAACTGCCTAATAATGGACAATTGTACAAAATCTTCCACCATTTACAAAAGTTGTCCTCATTTTGTGTAAACTTGCTGCTGAAATTCTGCTTTCTCTAAGCTACATTTCATAACAGACACCTTTTTAGTCAATGGCATGATTGAAAAGAACTTGTAAAAATTCAAATTTTAGTTTACTTGAGTTCCGTATGTAGATTTTCTTTTTCTTAGTATTTCACAGCTGAGATCACAGTGCACTCTAATCGTCATCGTCATCGTCATCAATCAATCAATCAATCAATCATTCCTTGAACAAAAATTACAAAAAGCCATGTTTCGCAACAATCCCATAGGATTTTTGTTTTGTTTTGTTTTTTGAATGATAGCAATACTTGAATCTCTAGGGAACTAAAATTATTGTTTTTTAAATAGGCATTTTATAAATGGAGGCAGACTGTTCTCTTTTGACTTAATCACATCTACCCTGATTAGTCAGTGTTGAAAAAGAAGATATAAGGTGACATTTTAAGAGAAGTTGCCTGAACGTGGTCTTCTACTAATTGAGATCTTCAGTATGAGGAAATTTGGAAGAAGAAGGGGACTAAAACATTTTTCTTCTTCCTTTTACACATGTAACATTGTCTTGCTTA